AGGTGAAGAAAACACGAAAAAGAAGTTGCACAAGCAAAAAATTCTCGAATCACTGGCTAAATAACACGTGAGCCTGGAAGGAGCAGCTGGAGGAAGATTAATGGCGGGCTGGTGATTATTTTGGGCTCAAGGCCCAGCTGAATTGGGATCAAAGGGGGAGCGGACCTAATGGGCTCAAAGCCCAGCTAGCTGGATAATTATTTTGGGACGAATTGCAAAGAACAAAAAAAGGAGTGGGCCGAGGTCTTTTGATGGATCTGGGGTGGCAATTAAAATGGGAGGGAGGAGACAAAAAGGAGCTGGGCTGGGCTGGCAATTAGGCCAAGTCCAATGCAAAACCCCAAATTTGGGGGCCTTGAACTCCAAATTTGGGGATTGAACCCCATTTTCCCTTTTTTTGCTCCAATGCAACAAACTCCATATTTGGGGTTCTTAATATTTCCAGTTTTTCCATTTATTTAAAAATGTACTTATCGAAACTTTAATATAATTTATTCATGTTAATTTTTGTATAGTTCGTCATCATTTTTAAATACAAATTTTTCGATAGAATTTTGTTAAATTTCGAGACCGAATTTTTGTTTACACATAACTTAAAGATGATAAACATAAATTTTAAATAAAATGAATTCAATTTAAGTCATCTTAGAAAAAAAGCCTAAATACAAAAATATTAAACACAAATTAAATACAATCTAAAAAGCCTAAATACAAACATTAATTCCCTTTTCCCTAATTAATTACATTTCATTCCCTTAATCAATTTCCTTAAATAACTAATAAATAATTAACAAAAAAAAAGCTCATGCGTTGGAGCTCCAAAAATTGCATTAATTACATTAATTAATCCAATAAACAATTTTCTTTCTTCCCTTAATTAATCACATTAATTAGCAAGCAATTAATTACACCTTTCCTACCATTAATCACATTAATTGCGCGAGTGCCAACAATTCTTCCATTCCCCATAAATGCCGACCTCGGCATTCCCTCCCCCATATTGAGCGACCCATATGCCGATGCCCTCCATAAATGCCGATTTCGCCATTTTTCGTCTCTGCGTTGGAGCTCCAAAATCGCCATTAATGGCGAGAACTCCATAAATGCAGGCTGCATTGGAGTCAGCCTTATAGAAAAGGCGGGAGCTGGCGGCGGAATTATAAGGAGGGGGAGAGACTTTTACTAAAAGAAAAATCATCTCTTGGCGGCGGAATTATAAGAAGGCGCAGCAGCTGGAGACGAAAAGGAGCGGAAAGAAATTCTTGTTGGGACGAGAGGAAAAAGCAGCTCGGAGAGAGGAATCGGGAAACCAGGGGGAATTAACTCTCTTGAGACGAAAATTCTTTTTGGCGAAGAAAAGCAGCGGGACAACGCAAGGAAGTGGGGACGAGCGGCTTCCATCGAGCGGCAATTGGTGATCGAGCTTTCCAAGACTGCTTCAGCTGATTTCAACAAGAACAAGTGGTTTGGTTGGATCTTTTCTATTCCGAATTATTTGTTTATTGTTGATTCGGAACATTATGATCAAAACCATATTATTTTATCTTAGTTTCATCATGAACTAAACTCCAATTTCTGGGTGAAACACCATAGGATGTAGCTATTTCTATATTTGATGGATTGATTCATAATTCTTTTCTTCCAATCTCTATTACAGGAAATTGTTTAATGCTTTGTGTTGACTGGCTACCAATACAATGATTTGTAGTTAATTAGGTTATTAGCGACAGTGAAACCCTAATAACTGAACCTATTTCATGTGACATAGCAACTTATCGAAGCGACAGTGGATTAAATAAGGTGTTATGCGGTCTTGATTGAGATATCGGTCTTAAGGCTAAATAATTAAGTCATTGAGCTACAACAGTAGGATTTGATTTAATTGTTTAGCACGTAGTAATTCCCGACAGGGATAGCTAGCACATTAGTGATATCCTGGCTGTAGAATATGAATTAAATTGATTGGAATATGTGAATTAATCTGGATAGGATAGGTAGTGAGTCCCGGTGTTTCTCTCAGAGCTTTTTCCCATTGATTTCAACCCGACAATTTTAATTTGCTTATTTTGTTTAATTATTTTGCCATTAGATAATAGTTTCAACACTCAAATCATTTTCACCTATAGTTTGCTCCATAGGATTGATAGAATATAAGGTTGTACCATTCCCTGAGAGACGATACCCGAACTTTCCGATTTTACTACGAGATAGGAATTGAAGCAATACGCTTTTGCCCTATAAAGTTGTACCATTCCCTGAGAGTTATGTTTGTTGTTTTATTTAACTGCATTAACCCACTACTTTGTGAGAAAGAAGTGCATTAACCCACTGTTTGTCCTGTTTTCAATTAGTAAAGAACTTAGCCTTTAGAATTAGGAAGTTAATTGGAAAATTGAGAGTATATAATTGTTTTCCTATTTGATTATGTAGATTTGAAGATAATTCATTATGGTATCTTCTCAAGCATCAAATAAAAAGGGGGAAAATTATTTTCTTTCTCTAGCGTTAACGTTGCCCATTTCAACGACTAGTATGGAAAAATCTTTTTCAACAATGAAACATGTGAAGATTAATTGGCGCAATAAAATGAGTGATGAATTTCTTGTTGGTTGCTTAACTATTTTCTTTGTGAGAGTACGTTATTGGTATGGATGAAAACTGAATTATTGACAAATTGCTAAATTAAAAGACCGTCTTGTACAATTGACATTTTTATGAAAACTATGTGTATTTTTTTTTGTTTATGGTATCTAATTTTTCGTTCAAATACGGCCCAGTGCTATTCCTGGATCTGCCGCTGATGGATATTCCTCGTCTTAGAGTTATTACTGACTATTCCGGAAGACTCAATTCTTATTGACGACAGACTTATTTATTAGATCTACTGCAACATCCGAACTTTTTACCTATAAAATATTGTCCACTTTGGGTCTAAACTATATTGTGCTCCATAGCGAGCACGTTTAATTTTGGAGTTCTTACAAGAATTCTTCTATTTCACACCAAAATGCCTCTTGGCAGTTAATGTCGGTTTCTTGCTTATGAATCATGGATCTCTCACGTGCTTTGTCGATGTGCGATTCGTCTAAAGTGTTACATACACCCCGGCCCTTTGAGACTCAACGTCCTTATTGATCATGTATTCATGTTTGCCCCACTATCGTTCAAGAGGAATGCGGAGTGGCTCTAATACCACTTGTAACATTCTGAACCTTTTCCCTACAAAGTTATTATCCTTTTTGTGCCTATACCCTCACGAAATTTGTCTAGAGGTGCATTCAAGGTGACTTTTCATAATGTCACACATCCTTGCAGTGCTCCACAGTGAATTTTTACAATAGTTCTTTCATTTCACCACAAAACACGGCTTGTCCGCTAAGATCAGTTTCTTACAAATAAATCATACATCTCACTCGTATTTTGTCGATATAAGCAGTGGCGGATCCAGGGGGTGGCCACCCCGGGCCCCGGCCCAGCCCTCCTCTGGATCCATAGTTAGTATAGGCCTTATTAATTTTTCGATTTTAGATATTCGGGTCGTTGTTATTTTAAAATAAGATTGGGTATAATTAGAAAAATAATCCAGATGAACATATTCAAAATCACTACTCTAAATTTAGTTTATAAATTCTAACCCCAAAGGTTATTCGTCTATAAAACAATGAAACCAAAAAATTCAAAAAGTATAAAACGTGAGAGACTAAAACATATATGAGGTTTGTTACCTTGGAAAATTTACTAAAGCAGCTGGTGGATATATGGATGGAAACACAATGCAAATTGATTAGTAGATTGATTTGTCTAGTGTTGATGCTCCTCGTTTCAACAGCTAATACGAATAGAACCTTTTCAACAACGAAACATGTGAAAATTGATTTGCTCAAGTATTTTATTTGAAACAGTGTATACTATTGATATGGATGTGGACTCCATTATTAATGCATTGGCTAAACTAAAATACCGTCGTGTACAATTTATATTGTAAAAAAATTATAATCATTATATTTTTTTACTATTCTAATTTTCTAATAAAATGCGGCCCAGCGCACTTCTGTATTCTGGATCCGCCGCTGGATATGAGATTTACCAAATGTGTTACCTACAACTTAAGTAATTTCGGAAAAAAATACTGAGTGAGCAAATAAAAAAGAACCCAAAGCCCAACCAATCCCATTGGTACAATCCTTGACACGTTAAAACCTATCCCTCTTAAAGCAACAAATTAAACCTTTTGCTTATGATGTCCTTGATTGGAAAACGACCGTTTGAATTTGAAACTTCAACTCCATAAAGGGAAGAAGAGATCTTGATTAGTGGATTGAGATATTCATTTTCCATATTTCTGTTCAATTGGTTGACATTTTAAACATTTTCGTTAGATTTAACAGATTCTTTTGAAAGAATGGTTAGATTAGTTCCTTGATATCTTGACACCTATTTCGGTAGAAGAATCTGTATCTTCTTACACATCTTAAGCATTTTCGAAATCTTAACTCGTAATAGTGTCTTTCACGGTTCTTGTGTCCGAAAGAAGAGTGTTGGTCCTCTTTCTTTGCACTACTTGCACATTATATATCGAGATTAACATCTCTTTCATTTTATTGATTGGGATTAGTATGTTGAAATAATTTACTATTCTTTTCCGTAGAACTTATTGCATTGAGATTTCGTTTGGTTATGCACGCGCCAAAAACGATTTGATCTTCCTTATAATATTAAAAAAATATTTTCTAAGTTTCCTTTATATGTATGTGTTTACTTGAATGAACCAAACTTTTGCCACCCATACAAAATCAAATTTATGCACTGACAATGGGGAGTCGGAGTGGATATACTCCAAGTGGAATGTCTAAAGCACCAACTTTCCGAAGAAAAAACCCCAACTAACATATAACAACCTTCACAAAGATGTGGTTATCGTAACTAGTGGTTACGAGTCACATTCACAAATCACATAGACGGGGTCGCTCCATGCATTAATTATTTATATTATTTTTTTGACAAAAGGTAATCATATATTGATTCATGAAGAGATAATTACATCCTGGAGAACAACCAGGCTTGAAAATAAAAAATACGACAAATAGATGGAGACAAAGAAAGGGCCTTCTTAGCCACCTTATGGGCTACCCTATTGTTCTGCCGACCTATAAACCGCACACCCAACCCTGGATGAGCCTGAAAATAATGTAAAACTTCTTCCAAAATAGCTCCCACCCGGGTATCACTAGCCTCCCGCAGAATGATCTTGTCAATAATCACCTTGGCATCACCCTCAAACCGTACCTCAGTGAATCCCAAGCCCCAAACACCAGTTAATTGCCTCCCGAAGGGTAAGTAATTCGATGACCATTGGATCAACCAGACCCGGAAACTGGATCCCCCTAGCCAGAAGTACTTCCCGAGTACCATTCATCAGCACCATACCCCCAGCCGAGGAAGCCCCCCGCCTAGTAGCCCCATCCCAGCAACAGACAACACTGAGGTCAGCAGACGGGGCACCTGGGCAGATAGTTTGCCTATGAGGCGTACCAACTCTATCTATGGGCAGATTTACCCACTCCTCATATTGTTGGTGAAACTGCCTCATTAAGGCCTCGATCCCAAATTGCTTTCCTTCAAAGACAACCCAGTTTCGAGACCGCCAGATTCTCCAAAGGATAGCCGCTAAAGCCATGAACAACTCTGGCCGGTGAATGAGACCCATAACCCTCCTTAGAAATAGGGGGAAAGTGTGTCGCGGAAGCCCCTGCCCTAGAAATTCCAGCCCCGAGAGATCCCAAAGAGCCCTAGCTACCGGGCAAAAGAGGAACAGATGCTCCATTGTTTCAGTGGCCTCCCAGCACAACAGATGCTCCATTGTCTCAGTGGCCTCCATGCATTAATTATTAACTGCTTAATTTTGTGTTTTTCTCTTAATTGTGGGCTGACTTTCACCGTCTGAAATGACGTAGACGGTAGAACAAATCCTTGAACACACAAGGGTCAACATTTAGTTGATGAGCAATCCGGACTTATATGTACAGGAGGATTCCTAAATCAAAATTTCTATCGGAAATGACAACTAGTTTTGCTTGCCACTATAGATTAAAAAAAATTTTAGGATAATGTCTATTTTTTATTCAATTTTTTTTAGACTTTTTATATTATTCAAATCTATTAAATGCTATTAATTAGCCAAATCTTTCGTAATGCATCAAAATCTTAACCATTTTTAAGTTATCGTCAATAATTTTGTAACTTTTTTCTTAGTTAAAATACTAAAATTTTGGAATGTTAACCTTCATATGTCTCTTCCAAGGTTGTCAACCCGCGAGTCAACCCGGTTTGACTCGGGCCCCGCCACAAAAATGGATCACATCAGCCCAATAAAGCATCCACTCGGATTTGGTCAAATCCGGTATGAGGCAGACCCGTGCGGTTAACCCAGAGGAGTGGGTCAGCGAGCCGTTTCCACTTCGCGCTGTCCTTCCCGTAAGATTCACTGGCATTTTTTTTTTACTACCACCCCTTCTCTCCTTCTTCGCCAGAAGTTCTTTCTTTTAACTAGGGGTGTACATGGGTCGGGTGGTCCGGGTTTAGATATTTTAATCACCCGACCCATGCACTACGGTTTGGGATATATTAAACCCAAACCCACCAAAAAAATCTAAACCCTACGGTTTGTTTCTAATTGGGTTGGGTTGGGTCGGGTTGGCGATATTTTTAAGTAAAAACCCAACCCAACACAAAATATGTAATTTCTCTACATCATAAAAATATTTTATAACAAATTAAAAATTCAAATGAATAAACCGAGGTGAAAGGTATAAAATTCACGAATATTGTTTGAATTTTAATAAAACTTGATTTACTTCAACTTATGTCTAGTTTTTTTCACGACATTTGTTGAAATAGGCTAAAAAGGTGTACAAATGAACGCATCCATAATATGATATTCTTTTAAAATTGTACACAAGAAAAAAAAATACGTGAATCATAGCTATATTAAATATATGTCTAAACTTTAAGTCGAAAAATGCATTAGATTAATGAGACTTTAAGAGAAAAACATGGCGAAATATCTTAATTTTCTCATAAGTATGACTATATACGACATAAATATTTTTTTGGATACGAACTCATACCAATAATTGGAACACGGGTTGGGTCGGGTTCTACGGGTTGTGTAATCCAAAATCCAAACCCAACCCAAAAGAGGCGGGTTGTACAAAAGAAAACCCTCACCCAACCCAAAACCTTCGACTTACAAAAGAATACGGGTGGGTTGGGTCGGGTTGGACGGGTGGGTCGGTTTGTGGGTGTGTTTGTTCACCCCTACTTTTAACTACCAAAATTGGAAAAAAATCCTTCTAAAAAACAAAAGTACATCTTATAAGGAAACTCAAATTAGTATCAATAGGAATTTTACTTAAATTTTAATTTTCGTAAGTTTATTTCTTCCTACTTAACTTAAACAAATAATGGTATTATATAAATTTGGCTTCTTATATATGCTATTCTTATAATTATTAATATTAAAATTAACGAATATTAACGCTCTCTTCACACTTTTAATATACGATTCTTGAAAAGTAAGCACTCTCACCCTCCTTTTCCACGAACTGGTTATTTAAGTCAAGCTTTCACAAGTATTATTGGGGATTAAGTGTGTTGGATTTGAGTGTTGTTGAATTTTTAACTATGATGGATTTAAGTTGATGTTATGTGATGGATTTAAGTGTTTGTTAAATTTTTACTATGTTGAATTTAAGTTAATGTTATTTAAGTGTGTTGGAGTTTAAGTAGTGTTGTATTTTTTCTATGTTGGATTCAAGATAAGTACAATATAATGACTCTTTCCATATTTACGGGCTAAACCGGGTGACCCATTAACTCTTGACCTACTAGCTCGACCGGGTCTGGGTCGACCCGCGTGTTGACAACCTTTGTCTCTTCCAAGTCAGTATCATGTTGCCAAGTCAATATTACTAACAAAATTGCTAACTGAAAGTTAACATTTGGATAATTCTTAGTATTTCGATAGGTTTGGATGATATAAAAGAATCCGAAAAATGTTTGAATAAAAAATAGACATTACCCATTTTTTTATAGGTGTCGAATGTCGAGCCTAGACAAAGAAAGGTTAAGGTCAAAGCCAATGCAGTTAAAATAGCGCTTTAAAACTTAAAAGCTTACGGTTTTACACTTCTAGGCCACCAAAACGCTTTCGTTTCCACATAAAATCTTAAGTGTATAAAATCGTACTAAATTGTGCTTTAAAGCTTAAAGCTTACGCTTTTACGCTTCTAGTTCAACAAAACGCTTTACACTTCTACGTTTCTAGTTCACTATTTTTTTTATTTTTACAAAGGATACTTGCATTGCACTTTGAATGATCGATTACAAGAGAACCAACAAAGCAAACCAAAAATAGAACAAGGACAGAGAAACATAAGCACATAGATGCTCAATCAACGCTAGTTCACTAAATGAGGTACTTTATTTATGAAATTAATTATAAAAAGTATATTTTAAAGGTAAATCACCAACAATATGTTCCATTTGAGGTTAAAAGATATGTACAAGATACTTGGATTCATTCTAGTTTCAATAGAGTAATCTAATTCACCACCTAGGCCCTTACCAAATTCATTAGTATAGAGGAGAATGTGGCTTATTGTTAAGGTCTATGTTTATTAACTTATTGTTAAGATATTATGAGTTGTTTTACTTTGGACATGGATTCCAGGTATTTATTAACTAACTTATCTAAATTCTGTGTACTCATATTTTACATAGTATATGTCTTACTTAACACATTTTTAGCTATTTTATCGTATGCGTAAAAAACTTACGCTTTAATTCTACGCTTTACGATTTTATTTCTTTCCGCTTTTAGGTAGAATCGCGCTTTTGACTGCATTGGTCAAAACCATTATTTTCGGGAGTAATAGGGGTGAAAAAATAACCGTAACCCGATCCGTCCATCCATTTTGACCCAACGTATTAAAATCGAGGTTTAAGGTCGGATGATGGTTTTTTTTATGGAACCCGTTTCTTTTAGTTGGCAGTGGATTTTGGGTTATGCAATCCGTAGATACCAGATCCTATCCATGTTACAAAAATTAACCTAAGTGTTTGTATCCAAAATGTATTTATGTATATTTGTGTGTGAATTATGATATTTTGTCAAATTATAAGTATTTAAGTATTTAATATAGGTTATGGTTCAGATTTTTTTTTGTGTATATACAATTTTAGAAGAATAACATACTATAGATAGATATGTTAGCTTATTTAAATAACATCTTTAGCTTATTTTGATAAATGTGTATGGAAAATACTAGACATATGTTGAAGCAAATGTGCATAATAATTTTTTGTTTGTATTTTTTGTACGTAGTATTCGAATTGATATGTAGTAATTGTCAGACTTTTCCAGAAATAGCACAGTTTAAAAAATAAATTACAAAAATACCACCCTTTTTCGAAAACAGCCACCCCACACTGCGGTTTACACGAAAACCACTGGGTAGGGGTGCGGTTTTCGACGAAAACCGCTAGGTTATGGGGTAGTTTTGAAAACCGCTGGGTGGGGCGGCGGTTTTGGGCCAAACAGCCACCCCACCCAGCTGTTTTGGTCCAATTTTATTTTTCGATCAACGCCTAACTTTGGCCGAAACTTCAAACGAACGTAACTTTGCACTCGGGTATCCGATCGTAGCGATTTTTTTTAATCCGCATAACTTTTCGAGATCTTGCAAGCTGCAAATTGCCGCTGGGTGGGGCGGCGGTTTTGGGCCAAACAGCCACCCCACCCAGCGGTTTTGTTCCAATTTTATTTTTCGATCAACGCCTAACTTTGGCCGAAACTTCAAATGAACGTAACTTTGCACTCGGGTATCCGATCGTAGCGATTTTTTTTTAATCCGCATAACTTTTCGAGATCTTGCAAGCCGCAAATTGCCGTAGGCGGTTTGGTCCCGCCTTCGTCTCGAAAAAACGTCATTTGCTACCCCGAACGAGCATTTTTCGATTTCGTCAAACTTTGGGCTGCCATAACTTTGTGCTGCAAAATCCGAACGCCATGAATTTTTTTTTCATTTCGCATAACTTTTGAAGATCTACAAGTTTTACAGGATGAAACTTTCAAAACAGGAATTAGTTTTGGATATACGGGATCTTGGGAATAACTTTACCTTTACTTTTCACAAATCCATGTACATTTAGAAATTATGGTTATGTTAAAAGTTGTAGTAATTGAAAAGTTATGCAGAATAAAAAAAATGACATTCGGATTTGATGCACAAAGTTATGGCCGTCCAAATTTATTGAGGATTTTTAGCGTTCAAGGATTAAAACTTTGTTAATATATAATTGTTTCAAAAGAAGAGTTGTAGTGAGGTGGTTTAGATGTTGGGCTTAATTTAGTTAACTATTTAATGAATCTTGGTTCAAACCATCATAACTACTTTTTTTAATCTCTCTACTAAATAAAAAGATTTAAAAAAGTAGCAATGGTTCAAACCACCATTGGTTCAGATTTTATTTTAAAAAAAATTACAAAACTACCACCCATGTACGAAAATTTTTAAAAATATCACCCTTTCTCGAAAATCGCTAAATCGGGGGCGGTTTTACGAACCGCATGGGGCGGGGGCGGTTTTGTTGAATAGTTAACTAAATTAAATAGTATATTTTATTTTTTATATTTTTTAAATATTGTGCATTCATTATAAAATACTTCAGAAACATCATGGTGTTCAAACGGAGTGGTTACCATTGTAACCATTTTTACCAGCAGTATTTGGTTTGGTTAAGTTTTTTGCTTGTTTGGTTTGGTATAGACACTCCTAACCAATCAAACCAAATTAACCACTTAAGTAATTTTTCATATATATAATAAATATTTTATACACATACTTAATACATTGCATAACCACTCAAGTGTCAAACGTTTCTTCCTCTTAGCATCATAAAAAATATTGTTAAATATTATTCATATATTGTATTTGTGGAGTGTAGACCACAACATATGTACTCCTAATTTAGATAAGACTCATAAAATATGTTGGATGAAAATTTGAAAGGAATGTATTTTCACCCTATGATAATTGCTAAGAGAATAAGTCAA